AGAAAGCGCTGTATTGCGTGGCTAGGTGGCACTGTGGGCATTAGGATTGCAAGCTCAAAGCCTTCAGGGGCCAGGTAGGTCACACAAATGAGCAGAGAGGTCAGGGACACAATGACATCATTGCCAGATTTGTAGTACACTAAAAAACACATGCTCACTCCCTTTCCAAAGCAGGGAAATGCGTTTTAAAATTCTAAGCAGACACCATGCAATTCGAACACATTTGGCTCCAAGGCCGTTGGCCCGAGGTCCCTGGTGGCTCTCTGTGACCTCGTGGATCCTGCCCTATATCTGGGGGTTGAATGTGTCATCTCTGGAATGGGGCCCACACAGGCTGGAAGCTGTGGCCACCCCAGCATGGGCGCTGAAAGAGGCCCAGAGCTGTCCAGGGCCCGGCCCCGTCGTGCCTCTCAGTATTGCCAAGACAGCCCTCGGCTCAGACTGCGCTTCTGCACATGGCTTACTAAAGATGAGCGCTCTGTTCAGCCACCCCTGGATGTGTTAGTTTTTCTTTTCCTCAAGTCTGAGTTCTCCGAGGGCCTTTCTCTGACTGCCCTTTGGAGCCCTTCAGGCACGTCTTGAGCGAGAGAAAATGGTTCCTCAACTTGCTGCTGAGCGAGTCTGACAAAACAGAGAGCTGTGTAAGAGCGTGCAAGTGCCATCAAGTCATCCTTAATCCTGATCAGTTTGAAGCCCTTCTGGCTGGCTGAGCTTGGGGCCTTTACAGACGCGTCCCCTGGAACTGAAGAGCCACACCGGTCAAAGGCAGCAGGGAGGGAGGGGCACCTAGACAGGACAGGATGTGTGGTTGTAGAGGCCGGGGCCCTCAGCCTGCTCCCCTATCCCCTGTGCCCTGTGTGGGGCCCATAGATGCTGGCATGAGGAGGCAGCTGCTGCACATAAGGCAGAGTCTAAGGGCCTGTCAGCTCCCCACCCCCCTGCCTACAAAAGGAGTCAGTGGAGGGCGCCCCTGGCCAGGCTGCTGCTGCTAAGTGCAGGAGGCAGCCCCCACTTGGGAAGATTGTACAGCACACAGGAAACAGCACATGCAGCCCTCCTGCCCTCCTCCCTCTCCTTGTCTGCTCCCCTCCACTCCATCCTCCTCCACAATCCCCTCTTCCTTGTGTGTCTCTCTCCAGCCCTCCCCTCTCCTACCCCACTCCGCTGCTTCCTCCTCCATGTCTACCCCTGTGCAGACTGCTGGCTCGGCCTGCTGTGTCCAGGCCCCTAGGTCTGACCCCAGGATGCTGATACTCTGTCCCTATGGAACCTGTGGCCCCCATGGGTTGGAGCACATACTCGGACCAGCCAGGTGATGTCCTGCCAGGCTGTCCTTACAGGAATCCACGCTCTGAGGATGAGCAAAGCAAGGCCTGCATCTTCCTAACAGTCCCAGGCCCAAGAGGAAGCTGTGGGGAGACCGCTGGGTGTGCACAGTGGCAGGGCCACAGTCTGCCTCCTGGGGGTGCTGCACCTGTCTTGGCACCTCATGCAGCCGAGGCCAGAGCAGTCATGGGGCAGCAGGCAGCAGGTGACCCCTGGGCCTTTGTTTTATCTCACCAGGGCCCATTGTGAGGACCACACGTGTGTTGGGGGGCACAGAGCACAGTCCCAACATGTGGGAGTGGCATTGTGGTCACTGCGGAGCTGCTGAGGAACTAGTTATGGGTCAGTGGAGTCCAGCAGAAGGACTGAGCCTTCTGCATGGCCCCACCTTGGTCCCAGCCTCCTCCCCACCCCTCCAAAGCCAGAAGGTGTCAGGCGGCCAGCAGATTAAATCTCCCCAGTTGTCTGGCAGCCCTGGTGCGCCGCCCCCGGCCCCCGGCACAGAGGCAGGACTGACTGGGAGCAGCTTGGCTCAGGAAGCCCAGGTCAGGGATCTGGGGTCTGGGCCTCGCCTCCTCCTTGTGCAGTGGCAGGAGAGCTACATGCTGTCAGCTGTGCAGGGTGCAGATCACACTATGCCCTTAGAGAGGCCTGGAGGGAGAACCGTCCTGTGAGATGCACCTTTCCTGTAGCAGCACTGGCTGCACAGCTCAGCCCGCCCCAGCCTGGGCCCCGGGCTCCGTCTCCCTGCTGATCTGGCTGAGCACAATACCGAGAGCCAAGTACGGCTGCCTCTCTCCTTCCTGCCAGGCCCTGAAGAACCCAGGTGCTACCTGGGTCCTGAGTCCTTGGATTGCAGGTTGGCAGATCTCCCAGCCCTCCTAAGAGCTTCGGGGCAGTGAGACCCCTGCTCCAGGGGCACATAGTCCAGTTGAAAACTGCCCTCACCAAAAAGAGGGGCTCAGTCAGGTGTGGCAGAGGACTGGGGACCAGAGGAGACTCCAGCAAACTGCTGACTGTGGGCAAGGTGAGGAGGCGGAGGTCAGGAGGATGGAACTCACAAGAGGTGCCAGAGTTGGAGGTCGGCTCCTACTTGGCGCACACAAGGAAACCCAGGCACAGAGAGAGCAAGGAACTGGCTTGAGGTCACAGCTAGTGAGGAAGGGGTGAGGGTTCCAGCTCCCTTCCCACTGTAGGTCTCAAGATAACTGCCCATCCTCCTCCCAGATGGGCCCCAGGACGGCGTCTCCAGGAAGAAGTGCCTCAGGAGCCAGTGGGCCATATCCCCAGTCGGGAAGGGGTCTCAGGATGTCCCCTGCTGGGGGCGGTGATCGGCACACACCAAGGGTGGGCTGGGGGCACTGCGGACACCTGTCACACAGCAGAGGGGAGCAGGTAAGAGTGGAGACAGCACCCCAGCTGCCCAGCTTCAAGTGTTGGTGCCCCCAGCTCCTCTCTGGGTGACCTTGGACAAGTCCCTGTCCCTCTGTGAGCCTAAATGAGGGTTTTGGTAACAGGAAGGTGATGGACACAGTGCCCTGAACCGCCTATCAACTGTCCCCCTTGCCTACTTGGGTCCACTGAGCTGTTTTTCCTTCCTCACTGGGAGGGAGACGTTGGGGCTCTCTGGGGTTGCTGCTCTGTTGGATGGAGCTGCACAGCCCCCAGAGGTTGCAGCACTGATTTTGTTCTCCCTGGGTATTGGGGTACCCGCCAGCTTTCTCCCTTGTGGTTTTGGAAGAGCCCGGGAAAGCCACACTTCTGGCGCCCAGCGGCTGGGAGCAGGCAGGATACTACCTGCTGGGGCAGCGAGGTCAGACAAACTCATCTCCATGCAGCACAGCCACCCTGCCTCGGTCCCTGCCAGGCCATCTCCCCTGCAGCTGCAGAGGGGCCGACAGCCCAGGCCGGGAGCACTGGCACCTCGTCTGTGTCCAGTCCCGGGCATCCTGCCGGTTGTGTGGCTGCCAGGGCCTCGATGCCCTCACCTGTGAGGCGGGACTAGTGACGATTCTCACTTCTTTGTAGGCAGCACTTGCTGGGCACGGCGGGTGCTGGAAAACACACTTCTGTGGGAAGCGGCTCCTGCCAACCCACGGAAGAGTGAGGAGACTGAGGAAAGGAGCAACTCACCTGCAGGTCCCAGGGACGCTGGGGAGGGAGGTGTCCAGGACATGCACAGGAAAGGTGTGGGCTCTGCAGCGAGCCGCTCACTGGCCTCTGGGGGCCTTTCATCAGCGGTGACCTGAGGGTGTAGGTGTGGCAAGGAAAGCAGCCTCAGGCAAGGGCTGGGCACAGGGGCTCCAGCCTGGGTCTGTCCTGCCCGCTGGCCTGGACCAGGTCAGCCAATCCCCGTGCGTGTGGTGCCACTGCCACCCTCAGAGCCTCTGGCCCCTGCCTGAGGCTCCACTGCAGCAGCCCTAGGGTGTGCCCCTCAGTTTCCCTGTCTGCCTGGTGAGGGAGCAGAGAGGCCCGATCGGTGCACAGTAAGAGTTTGCTCTTCTCCTGGACAAGCGGGCGCTGGCATGGGCCAGGCACACAGATGCTGAGAGCTCCCAGTGAATGGAGCCCCGCGTTTTCCTGTGGCAGAGAATAGACTGCTTCTGCTTCCCCGGGCACAACGCCAAAATCAATATAAATTTTTTTTTTTGAACCTCTGCGTTTCAAAAAGAAATAAAAGCAAGTTGAGCGATTGCAGTCTAAAGCGAGGCTCTGTAATTTTTGTAATTATGGAACAGGAGCAAGACAAAGCGGGAGTGAGAGCAGTCTTGGGGGAGGGGACAGTCACCTCCCCTCCCCCTCCTCGTGCCCCACACCCAGCCTGGCTGGCCGGGGACAATGGCAGCCCTGAGACTCCGGCTCCCTCACCCCACACAGCTGCCTGTCCCTCTGAGGCATGGGACAGAGAGAGCTTGTCTGTGACAGCTTCCACGCCCCCTCTGGCCTCGGGTCAGGACTCTAGCATCTCTCGCCGGGGCACCCAGACTGCGAAGGGGCCCCTCTGCAGCCTCCTGGAGCTGAGACAGAATAAGGCAGGCCGCCCATCCCGTTTGGAATAAGATCTGACCTCACCCCGGCCTCGGCCGCCCTGTGGGAGCTGGCCCCCTCCACTGCCTCCACGTGATCTGCCCCCACGTGATGGCACTGGTCTCCGCCTCCTTGCTGACTTTCAAACCAAGCTCCTTCCTGCCTCAGGGCCCTTACGCTTGCTGTCCCACTGCTTGCAATACTGTATCCCAGCCTGTCACATTTCTGGCTCTTAATTCAGGTTGATTTTATTTATTTTATATTTATTTTTTGCTCTGTCTGGTAAAACAAGCTCCGGGGCCAATTTTGACCCATTTTGCCACTTCGGATCTGGGCTTCCAAGCTGCGCATGTTTTCTTTTTCTTAATCCTCATTCAGGATTGGCAGAGGCATTTCCCCTACTTGGTTTGTCCCCATCTTTGTCAGGGGCTTCACGATGTGGCCACAGGAGGCGCACTGAGGAAGAAAGGCAAGCTGTCGTGGGAGTTTTATGCCTGCGCTCATGAATTTCCCTCCACTTGGAATGCCTGCTCCTTTTTAAATAAATTTTTTAAATTGAGTTTATTGGTACATTTTAGGGATACAGTACGGTCACATTCATTATTGGGATCTTGTACCTTTACATGACAGGTCTTGGTTCTCATTTTTTTCCCCTTGTCCCTGACCTCCCTTCACACCCTGCCTGCTCCCTTTTTTTGAGCCTGATGAACTCCTATTCAACTTTCAAAACCCAGCCTTGATGGTGCCTCCTTTGGGAAGCTTTCTCTTGGTGATTTAACTCATTCCTTCTGGACCTACAGTGTCTTGCTTTCCTACATCTTGCAGCACTTGCCACAGAATGTTCTGGTAAGCTTCAGGCAGAAAGAGTCTCCTTCTAGCCGTGACCTCCTCCAAGCCATGACCTCGTTTAGGCCTTGCATTGTGAGTGTCCCTGACTCAGTATTCAGTCAGTATCTGCAGGACTGATTCTCTAGACAGGTGTCCAGGTCACATGTGGGCGCCTCTGAGGATGAGAGGCCAGGGTGGAGGTAAAAGTGTGGGCTGTCAGAGCCGTGGGAAGAGACGATGGTGTTGGTGACGGGGACCCTGTGTGGGGACCAGGTCCAGGAAGCCACAGAGCTTCTTCCCGGCTTCTGGCTGGTCCTGGGAGAGGGCTGAAGTTTACTTTGTGTCCTTTTGTCAACTTTAAAGAACATTCCAGAAGTCAAACAGGAAAAAGTGTACAGAAGAAAACAAAAATCAACAAAGCCCCGGTTTCATCTTCATGTGTACCCCCCCGTGTGCCTGTTTGTGAGTTGCTATGAACAAATTTGGGGTGGAGGGAGAATCGTTGGGCGGGGTACTTCAAAACCTGCTTTTCTGACTGCACAAAACTCTTCCCCATGGTCTGACATGGTCTTTCATCACATTTCTGGACGTCCGATTGAGGTTGCAGAAAATAGCTGCACTAAACCTTGGTTTTATTATTTGAAAGAAAAAAGAAAACCATCAACCGGGTCCCACGGCTCCCAGTGAGGCTCATGCCCTGCACCCTGGGCCCCGTTGACTTCTTTTCCTTCCGATAAAATTATGGAATGTGGTCCTCACACTTCCATCACAGTTGTCCCCACACAGTGCCTCCCAGAAGCCCAGCACCCAGGCCAGCACCACACAGCAAGGACCGGACTGGCTTATGGTCACCATGGCCAGGGTCGCTCGGTGGACACCGCACAGCCCACTGCCACTGTCTGCTCACCCACCCCTCTCTTCCCTTCTGTGCTTGGCAGCTGGGCCCAGGGCTTGAGGGGACCTCGCTGGAGCTGACCGCGGTGGACCATCAGGTAACAATGACCCTTCCCAGCCAGGTAGCAGGCATGGCTAAAGTGTGCCCCAGCCGGGTGTGGTGGTGCACGCCTGTAATCCCAGCACTCGGGAGGCTGAGGCAGGAGGGTCGCTGTGAGTTCTAGACCAGCCTGGGCTACATAGTGAGTTCCAGGTCAGTCTCAACTACATAGTGAGACCCCGTCTCAAAAACAAAAACAAAAAAGAAACAAAAATAATAATAAAAATAAATAAAGGGTGCCACAGTGTGGCCTCTGCATCATTTTATAGGCGAGCAGAATGAAGCTCAGAGCCACAACAGTAGTCCTTAGGAGGAATATTGACTAGTAGCCCTAAGGTACTCCACTGACAAAAGTCAGTCAGGAGATTTGAACCCATGACTTTCTGAGGCCAGTTTCATACCCTGTCTTCTACCCACGCTGCCTCTGGAGCTAAAGAGTAAGAAGGATACAGAGGACTTATTCATCTTGGGGTGACTAGAAGCCCAAAAATGTCACTCAAGCCAGTGATCCTTTCCCAGAGGAGGATGAAGCCAGGCCTCGAATATGAAAATCTTCTTTTGTAGTTTGTTATATGTATAGACTTGGGGATTTCCCAAAATCCAGTAAGAGATGTGCTGTTACCCTCATCTTTTTTTTTTTTTTTTTTTTTTTTTTTTTTTTTTTTTTTTTTTTGTAGTGGGGATCAAACTCAGGTCCTTGTGCTTGTGAGGCAGGTGCTGGAACCACTGAGCTAAATCCCTGGGCCTACCCTCATCTTAAAAGATAGGGATAGTCTGGCACAGAGAAGTCAAGACATCTACACAAAGTCACACAGCTGGAAAGTGATAGAGTGGACTCTGATCAGAGCTACAGTCCCCACATGGGCTAGCCCTCACCACAACTATTATCACCTTAGGAAAGAGAAATCAAATTGTCTGCTAGGAGGCAGCAATGGGGGTCTTATCATGAAACACGCTGTATTTCTCTTGGGAAGCATGGTGGCCTCGGGTCTCTCTTCTGGGCAGGATGCATAGGGGAGAGCGCACAGATGGCCGGAGTTGGAGCTGGCCGGGCAGCTTGCAGCAGTCTCTCATGCTCTCCTCTGGCTTGTATCCTCCCCTCCTGTCCTTCCGGGGGGCTGGGGGCGGCAGGGGGCTGAGGGAAGCTGGTGGAGCCACCAGCCCGCGTGGGTGTCACTCCGTCACTGCTATTTTGGAGCAAGGTGACTCTAGAATCCTGGTGCTTGTTGTGCCTGTGACCCCCGCTGTCCTCCAGGGTGACCTTCAACCGCAAAGCTGCTGTCCACGTGGACCGGGGCCGAGATCGTGCGTCCATCCGCCAGGACCCCCACAGCCAAACTCCGAGACATGGCAACCAACGGCAGCAAGGTGGCCGATGGGCAGATCTCCACGGAAGTCAGCGAGGCCCCCTTGGCCAACGACAAGCCCAAGACCCTGGTGGTGAAGGTGCAGAAGAAGGCCGGGGATCTTCCTGATAGAGACACGTGGAAGGGCCGCTTCGACTTCCTCATGTCCTGCGTGGGCTACGCCATCGGCCTGGGCAACGTCTGGAGGTTCCCCTACCTCTGTGGGAAGAACGGCGGGGGTAGGTGGTAGCCTGCTACCCTCTCAGCTGGGTCCTGCTTGGGCGCTGTCTGGGCCAGCCGTAGGGGAAGCCACGTAAAGTTCCCAAGGTGGTCGGTACCAGGTCTCGTTTCTTGCCTCTTGCCCCTTGATCGAGGGTCCTCTGTTAGTCAGCTCTGTCACTGTGGCAAAATACCTGGAAATAATGACCTAAGGAGGAGCCATAATTTTGAGCTCACAGTTTCAGTCCTTAGTCAGCTGGCTTCATTGTGTTTAGGCTGGTGGTGATCATGGTGGGAGGGTCGGGGGGCTGCTCACCTCGTGGCAGCCAGGAAGTGGAGGGGAAACGAGGGCTAGTCCCCAAGGCTGCACCCTGTGCCCCAGTCCTTCCACTGGGCCCTCTTTCAGCATGTTATCTGCAGCCCCACGATCTGACCACTTCCCCAAAGCCCAACAGCTGGCCGCCCAGCCTTCAATACAGAGAGCTATAAAGACGTGGAGAACTCAGCCGTAACCGATCCCAAAGGACAACTGTTCACCTCTTTGCTTTGCAAAGTACAGAGCATGTGTTTTGAGCAGAGGGATGCCCTTGGTCTGCAGTTGGCTTTGGGCACACTTTGGAAGCAAGACAGGAGAGCCCAAAGGGGAACCTGCAGCCGCGGGGCCCTGCCGATGAGAAGGGTTTCCCCAAAGCCGTGGGCCACAGCCTCTGTCCTGTTGCCCGCAGGAGCCTTCCTGATCCCCTACTTCCTGACACTCATCTTTGCGGGCGTCCCGCTCTTCCTGCTGGAGTGCTCGCTGGGCCAGTACACGTCCATCGGGGGCTTGGGTGTGTGGAAGCTGGCCCCCATGTTCAAGGGTAAGCGTGCGGGACGTGGCCCTGGGGGGGGCCCTGCCCCAGGCCTGTGTTAAGCCAGGGCTCCTCTGGATCCTGCTCATCCACGAGCTCACTGCCCACCGGGGTGGGGTGCTCTTCCACTCCTGTGCTTGGTGGCCGTGGGCCCTTGGAAGGCCTTATAGGAGCCACGATCACCGCCCACAGGCTGGGCCTGAGCCCGCTGGCCAGGTGCACGCGGCCTCGGGCTGGTCCCTGCCTCTCAGAGGCTTAGTATCACCAGCCATGAGGAGGAAGTGGCCAGTGGTGGCTGCCACCGCGGAGGGGTGGTGACGCTGTGCTCTCTCCCAGGTGTGGGCCTGGCCGCAGCGGTGCTGTCCTTCTGGCTAAACATCTACTACATCGTCATCATCTCCTGGGCCATCTACTACCTGTACAACTCCTTCACCACGGTGAGCCAGCCTGCTGCCCCTTTCCCACCCCAGGCCATGGCGTCCACTGTGGCCCTGTCCCCCCAGCAGCTCCAGCGCCATGTGATAACTACGCTTCCTGGCTCTCCCAATGCCCCTGTAAGAAGGGGATTGGTTACCCATTTTGTGTGGTGGCCTAAGTTCAGAGCCTCACTCTGCCATTTACCAACTGTGCAATAGGCTAGCGGGAGATTTAACCTCTCTGGGTCTTGCTGTCCTCACTGATAAAATGCAGATAAAAGTGAAACCCGCCTCAGTTCCTCAAAAGAATTGAAAATAAATTATCGTTCCACTTCTGGGTAAACGCCCACAGAATTAAAAGCAGGGGCTCAAAGACACACAGAGAGATCTTCTCAGGCCACATTCACAGCAGCATTAACCGCGGCGGCTGGCACAGGAAGTGACCCAGTGTCCAGCCTCACCTGGATGTCACACGGCCTTGAAAGGGAAGGGGGCTGGACACACAGCACAGGGATGAAACCTGAGGCTGCTGTGCTGTCCCAGAACGCATGCTGCAGGACTCCACGTGTGACAAGAAGCAAGACGTGGCTCACGGGGCCAGGAGAGGAGGGAGTGGGAGTTAGGGTTCAGTGGGACAGAGTTAAGAGTTAGCTGCAGATAGATGATGGTGATGGCTGCCTGTACTTAAAAATGAGGATAAATCATATGTGTGTCATGGTTCCTGTGCAGTCACTGAGCTGGGACATGGCCCAGGACCCAGAGTCCTGACAGTGCAGTTCTGAAGCCACTTGAAGGTCACGTTTCAGCCCTGACACTTGGTAGCTGTGTGACCTTAGGCAGGTTGCTGCCCCTCTCTGATCCTAAGAGCTGCTGGAGAGGAGAGGCAGGGATGTGAGAGGCCTAGGGGACCATTAGGGTGGACAAAACCAGCTGGAACCCCATTTGCTGGCCTGAGGGCTCCCAGGCAGTGCCCACGTGACTGTGTCCTTGCAGACGCTGCCATGGAAACAGTGTGACAACCCCTGGAACACAGAGCGCTGCTTCTCCAATTACAGCATCGTCAACACCACCAACATGACCAGCGCCGTGGTGGAGTTCTGGGAGTGAGTGCCCAGTGTGGGCGGGGGGCGGAGCCTCTTCCTGCCCAGAGAGACCTGGGCTCCGAGGGGCCACAGAGGAGACACAGCTGCCGGACGCTGCTGAAAGTAGCTGGGGGGACTGCATCTATCCTTGTCACCTTTCTCTGGACAGCGTACTGACCCTGTGCTCGGTACTCAACCCAGAGATGGTGTAGCTTGCAGCAGATGTGCCCAGGCCTGCGTGTTCTGTCGGGGACCCCTGGACCCGTAGTGAAGGCCGCATCTGTGAACTCCATCGTCAGAGGAGGAGGGTTGGGGACACTGCTGTGACACAGTGAGGTCCCAGGGCCCAAAGCTCTGTGTCACAAAGGGAGCATCTCGGGAGGCCCCAGAGTTTGTGGACGGAGCAGGAAGAAGCGGCACCCAGGCTCTCTGTGGGCTGCATGCATCCGTGCAGATGAAAACCTACTCCGGTGTGGTTGGCTCTGCTGCTGACAACTGCCACTCGCAGCTCTCCTGGACATAGTCGGGCTCTAAGTCATTCAGCCACTTGCTCCATACGTGTTTCCTGAGCACCTACTATGAACCAGTGTGATTAACAAGCTGGATCTGTGAAGGCAGGACCCCGCTAGGAGGAGGCACACATAGGTCTCCTGGCATCTTCGTGGGAAGGGTGGCTGCTGGCGGGGGAGACAGAGACAGAGACAGACAGAGAGAGGGAGGAGGCAGAGGCTGGCTCACAGGCAGGGCACCTTCTAAGATCCGGCTTCTAAGAGGGCTACATTCTGAGATCCGGAGGGAGCCGTTCATTGCAGAGCACAATTGACAACAGGTCCCCTAGAAGCCTCTGGCATCCAGGGGAGCAATGACAGGGCTGAGCAGCAAGTCCTGCTCCCTCCAACCTCTGACACTTCCTAGTGACACTGTGCTGGACCTCATGGTCCCCACACAAGCCAGGGAGGTCGTGACCCGTGTCTGCGCCTGGGCACCCTGGCCCCTCCATCTGGCCCAGACCCTGTGACTCTCTCATGGCTGCTCTGTCCCACCAGGCGCAACATGCATCAGATGACGGACGGGTTGGACAAGCCGGGTCAGATCCGCTGGCCGCTGGCCATCACCCTGGCCATTGCGTGGATCCTGGTGTACTTCTGCATCTGGAAGGGTGTGGGCTGGACTGGGAAGGTAGGGATGTGCGCGGGGTCGGGGAAGGTGGCAGGGTCCACAGAGGGATCCCTCCTCTCCCAAGAGCACCGTCCAACCCTGATTAAGAAGGTCGCTGTAGCTCTCCGTGCCTCCGTTTCCCTTTCCTTGAAATGAGAATCATGAGGTTCCTCACGGGTGCCCAGCCTGGAAAAACACAGATGTTGACTGGTCCCACTGGAGAACGGTCACACTGGTGGGCCCTTTCCAAACTCCATCCCAGGAGCTGAGAGGCAGAGGCTGGCCGAATCTTTCCTGGCCCAGGCCTGAAGGACGCCTTTCTAAGTAGCAGGGGTGGTCATTGGCCAGACGACCAGGCGGGACTCAGAAAGGATGAGAAATTGACTGGAAGTCACACAGCCCATAGTCATACACATGATGTTGAAGCCCCTTTCCTAACTCTAAGGGCATTGGTTTCTCCAGAGGAGGGCAGCTGTCTTTCCTAACTCCACATTATCCCAGAGCCATTAATCCAGTGAATAACCCAGGGTGGAGGGTCACAGCAGTCCCAGAGACACAAAGCCCGCTACACTCGGAAACTGCCCTTTCCCACAGGGAGCAGAGAGGCACGGCTTCGTACATCATCAGTCTTTTGATTATCAGTTTGACAAAAATACTTTTCTTATTATTGTACTCACTGCCAGCACTGTGGGAAAAGCCGCTCCACTGCAGGGTGGAGCCCAGTTCCAGGAGTCAATTAGACAACACGGGCCAGAGCCCCGGAGAAGCTGATTCTCTGACTCAGTAATTCACTGCTAGGAAGATGTCCCAGGAGGGGGTAATAATTTTGTAGATACAGATTTATATGCAGAGATGTTCACTGCAGTATTTATATTCACATAAAATCAGAAGAAACCTAAATGGATACCAGGAGGGGGGACTTGAAAGGGGACAGTGAGACCCCGAGGACCATTTCGTAGGACTAAAAATGACACCGTGCATGACGCAAGGCTCAGGAGACAACTCTGTACGTGCTGTGGGCTTTCAAACTTTAAACACATTAAGTAGAAAGGCAGCTACATAATTTGAGCTTCATTTTGTGAGAAAAATGTGACCAGATGTGCCCAGGAAAGCCCTGCAGGAGCAGCCCTGAAATGTCAGCACCCACGCACTGACGGGATGCCCAGGGGTCGGGAGGACCAAGATGCGAATCACACAAACCTGTCTCTCCTGCCACTTCTACTCTAGGGCCTGCCCAAGGGGACGTATGTGTTCATGTGTAATTTCTAAATTTTCCAGTCATCCCATGTATGACTTAGGTAATTTAGAAATCAAAACCTGGGAGGGGTGCTGGGGATTTAGCTCAGTGGCACCACGCCTGCCTCACAAGCACAAGGTGCTGAGCTCGATCCCTGGCACCACGGGCGGGGCGGGAGCTGGGAGGAGGAGAGGGGAACAGGAAAAAGCAGGTGCTGAACTGATTGACTCAGACATCCAGCAGGGTCTTCTGGGAGTGGGCGCCAAGCTCGGCATGGGGGAAGGCTTCCTGGAGGGCAGAGGCCTGGCCCCAGGTGAGGCAGGGGCACGCTGGCGGGTGACGCTCGCCCACCTCTCCAGGTGGTGTACTTCTCTGCCACCTATCCGTACGTCATGCTCATCATCCTGTTCTTCCGCGGAGTGACACTGCCTGGGGCCAAGGAGGGCATCCTCTTCTACATCACGCCCAACTTCCGAAAGCTGTCTGACTCCGAGGTGAGCACCCCTTTCCTCCCGGCCTCACTCACCAACCTCGGACGCTGGTCCAGGCCCCGGGGGAGTGCGGCTGCGGTTATTAGGACCGTTTTCCATCCTCTTGCCCACAGGTGTGGCTGGATGCGGCTACCCAGATCTTCTTCTCCTACGGGCTGGGCCTGGGGTCCCTGATCGCTCTCGGGAGCTACAACTCTTTCCATAACAACGTCTACAGGTGCCAGGGTGCAACTGTGAGCCTGGTCCTTCCTGACCCATCCCTCCCTCCTGGCTTTCCCACAGCCTTCCGGGCTCGGCCCCATCCTCCCTAACCCTGCCCCTTTCTCCAGACCCCGCCCCTTCCGTCAAGGCCCCACCTCCGCCTTCCAAGCCACACCCAGAGGCCACGCCCACACACCCCATCCCCCGCTTTCTCCTTTGTGCCTCCTTTTTTGCCTTCTTGGCAACCCTGCTCTGAGCCAGCCGCGCAGCTCAAGGCGGCTCCTCTGGGCCCATTTCTTCCTGTCCCGGATCCTTGTGAGCCTGCCCTGTGCCTTGGGGCCTGTCCTCAGGGCCACCTGTTCTCAGGGCCACATCTCCTGCTGGCCCCTCCCTGACTGCTGCCCCTGCGCAGCTCCCTGACTCAGCGCCCTCCTCCAGGGACTCCATCATCGTCTGCTGCATCAACTCTTGCACGAGCATGTTCGCGGGCTTCGTCATCTTCTCCATTGTGGGGTTCATGGCTCATGTCACCAAGAGGTCCATTGCCGACGTGGCGGCCTCAGGTCAGCGCCGCCAGGAGGGCCCTGCTGCGGGGGAAGACGCTGTGCACCAGGGGCCGTGTCACCACCATGACACAAGACCCTCAAGTTCGTGCTTCTGTCCTGGCACCAAAGTGCTCTCACCAAACACTGCCCACTCTGCCCCTCTCCACTCCCTGCTTAGCCACCCGAGGGCCCACGGGCTCCACTGAGGCCCTGGAGACTCAGGGGTGACACATCCGTCCCTGTCCCGCCAAGACCTGGTGGTCATGGTCTCTGCTGAGGTTCTGGTCTCCCGTCACACCCCAGGGACTCTCCCGGTGCCACCCCTGCCCACGCTCAGGTCCAGACCAGGGAGGGGCCCCTGCGGCCCCCGCTCCGGTCCTCTCACCTGACTGCCCGCCCCCCAGCCTCCCACTGGCTCCTTCCCGGAAGCTCGCTCGGAAGAGTCCTCCGAAGATGCGGGGAAGTGGACGGATGTGGGTTGTGCTCTGAGCAGCAAACACCTTTTCCTTCTGCCTGTTCCCCAGGCCCTGGGCTGGCATTCCTGGCGTACCCAGAGGCCGTGACGCAGCTGCCCATCTCCCCACTGTGGGCCATCCTCTTCTTCTCCATGCTGCTGATGCTGGGCATTGACAGCCAGGTGAGCACCCCAACACCTTGAGCCCCCCACCGGCAATTCCTCAGTCCAGAGCCAGCAGCAAGAGGGAGGTCACACTTAGGTCCCTGTGAAAATGACTCAGGTTTCTAGAATGTTCCACCCCATGAGACCCTGGGGAGCGATTCAGACACCGTCCCCACTTCCTGCAGGGGAAACTGAGGCCCAGAGGGAAAGAACTCTCCTGAGGCCCCCAAGCGAGCGAGGGGTAGAAGGAGGCTGCGCCCCAGGGCTGGCTGGGTTGGAGCGGGGCCGGGGCTGGGGCAGGTGGTCCACTCTCCACCCCCCACAGTTCTGCACTGTGGAGGGCTTCATCACTGCACTGGTGGACGAGTACCCCAGGCTCCTCCGCAACCGCAGGGAGCTCTTCATTGCCGCCGTCTGCATCGTGTCCTACCTGATCGGCCTCTCCAACATCACCCAGGTGGGCTCAGTAGGCACCTGCACACCCAGGCCTCCTGGGCCCAGGTAGAAATTAGATGACCGCAGGGAGTAGGCGCCAGGGGAGAGGACTGTGAGGCTGAGGACGGTCCACAGGTTGGAAAGGACTCTGCATGGGACAGGGTGGTCAGGGAGGTCTCTCTGAGGATGTGACAGCTGAGCTGAGACGTTTGATGAGAGACAACCAGGCAGGGAAGCTCTGGGGCAGAGAACGCGGCCCGTGCCAAGGCCCTGTGGTGGGGATGGGCTTGGGGAGCTGAAGGGATGGGAAGGAGGTGGATCCTGTGGCATCTGGGTCAGAGCTGACTGCGCTTGGTCTGTTTCTTTATGAGCTATGTTATTGTCCTGTGTAAGCCAGGGAAGGTTTTGGCAGGGAAAAGGCATGTTTGAGCAAAGATGGCTTAGTGACCACCTCCTCACTCTGCCTCCAGCCCTGCTGGAATGGGCTGTCTCCCTTGGCTGCCTGGACTTCTTCTTCCTGATCCCAGAAAGTGAACGTCTACATCCAGTCAGGCTCAAAGCCCTCGCTCTACCTCTAGTCTGCCCTCGAGCTTTCTTGCTGCAGTGCAGCCTAATAAAATCGGCCCTCTTGGGGCCCACACTGAATGCGCTGGGTGCTGGGGGCACCCTCCTTTCCTCCTGCAGGGGGGCATCTACGTCTTCAAACTCTTCGACTACTACTCTGCCAGCGGCATGAGCCTGCTGTTCCTCGTGTTCTTTGAGTGTGTCTCCATTTCCTGGTTTTATGGTGAGCGTCACCCTCCCCCCTTATTCATTCATCCACCCCCCACACAGTGACTAATTTGGTCTTCACAACCATTCAGAGAGGTTTTGTTTAGAAGATACAAAAGGAACCGTTAAATACATTCATTTTAAATGGGGCCAGCACTTCATAAATTTGGGAATAAAAAGGTTTGTTTGAGGTTCTATCTAGGAAAGGGAAACTCAAACATCTATAATTTTTTTGAAGCTTTAAAGTTCCTTTTTTGATAACTGCTCGGCTATCGGTGAAAGTCTGTGTTATCTGAGACAAAAAGCAGGAAACACTGATGTGTGTGTTACTTTTGACGTCCTCTTCCCTGCACTTTCGACTTCTAGAGCAGATCAAGTGTTTTGGAGGGGACTCGACGCTCTGAGTCTCCTCTGGGCAGACCTGCACCTCACCCCTTGTCACGGTCCCTTGTCCCCTCGGAATGGTCTGGCCAGTAACTGCCTGTGAGCTGAGTGGTGCGGGCTGGTCTCTGGTCACTTCAAGACATCCTGCAGTTTTTGTTTGTTTATGGGATTTGCAGTCCTTCACAGTCACCAGTAGGAGACCATCGGGGAAATGCCCTATCCAGTTAGCCGGCTGGAGGCACGGCTGGGACAGATGCGATGCAGGACGGACGTGGGGACTGGGACCACATTTCACACGTCCCCTTCCCTGGTGGCTGTATGTCAGGGTGATCTGCTTTCCTACTTGTGCTGGGACGGGCCCTGGAATACACAAAGCCGCAGGGCTGGGTCACCAGGGGAAACGAGTTCGGAGAAATGGCGTGACCTGCTTAGGGTCCCTCCACGAGGAACCGGGACCCCGCTGCGCCCACCACTCATGCAGGCCCCATTCTGTTGCTCCAAATGTCACAGGCGTCAACCGATTCTATGACAACATCCAAGAGATGGTCGGCTCCAGGCCCTGCATCTGGTGGAGGCTCTGCTGGTCCTTCTTCACCCCGATCATTGTGGCAGTAAGGATGAGGCGGAACCACCTGTTACGAGCAGGCTGGCTGAGCCCGGGCAGCTCCATTCCAGGGAGCTGCTTCAGGGGCAAAGACAGGAGGAGAGGTCCCCAGGGCCGAGCTCCCCATTCCTTTCCCCTGCGTCTGTTGAGCAGCCCTGACCACCCACGACATCACGCTCACGTCTTCGGGGACCCGGGTGCTGTTAGTCCTCTTAAACACTGAGGGTGGGGCTCAGCCAGTCTGTGTCACTCAGCCCTCAGCGCTGGAGTGCACCCAGCCTCTCTTTCTCTCTCTCACGGCGACCTTGCCTGCCTCCCACAGGGGTGCTGGGCCGGGCCTGGGAGGCTGAGTGGTGTCCTACTCAGGCGGGGCCAACGCCCCTTGCCCCTTGCTCTGTTCGCCAGGCAGGGAGGCCAGAGGGATCCTGAGAGAGGCCGGTTTTCCCTGCTTCCTGCCCAGAGAGGGCACCTGTCCCATTATCCACAAAGGTGCCTGTGTCCCAGCAGCGCCCTGGGTGTCGGGATGGGGTCAGCCGTGGGACGGGGTGGAGGGCCAGGGCCCTGGCTGGTCCAGTCTGGGTGACGTGGCCCCTCATCCCGCCCTCCACCCTGCCCAGGGTGTGTTCATTTTCAGCGCCGTGCAGATGACGCCCCTCACCATGGGCAGCTACGTCTTCCCCAAGTGGGGCCAGGGTGTGGGCTGGCTCATGGCTCTGTCCTCCATGGTCCTCATCCCCGGGTACATGGCCTACATGTTCCTTACCCTGAAGGGCTCCCTGAAGCAGGTAAGCCCCTTCCCACCCAGCTGAGGGGCTGCTGCTCCCGTTCCCCACATGCCGACACAGCCCTGTCCTTGAGAAGCTCCAGGTCTAGTTGGGGAGATGATGAGCTAAGGGCCGTGGCACTGGGGTGTGAGAGGGGCTCCACTAGACTATGCCGAGGAGATAGGCTCCAGGAGCTCTGCCTTAGCCCTGCCTGGGTTGAGAGGATTTGCCAAAGCTTCCCAGAAGAGGGGATCTCTAAGGAGCACCTGAGGGTCAACCAGGTATAGTGGTGGAACAAAAGGATCGTTCCTAGAAGGGGGAGGGGAGGGGCACACAGCATGTGCAAAGGTCACGGGGTACAAATGGCATTTGGTGAACTGAAGAGAGGTGGGTATGGCTGGAGAACAGAGTGGAGTGGGTAATGGGCAGTGTAAGTAAGTCAGGTGAGATCACGAATGGCTTTGGAAATCAGGACAAGATTTTTTTTCCCCCTGGTACCAGGGATGGAACTCAGAACCTCGCATTTGCAAGACAGGCACAGGGCCACCGAACTAAATCCCCAGCCAGGACAAGAACTTTAGACTCTATCCCAAGGGTTACGGGAGCCTTCAGGAGCCTTTGAGGATTTGGAGTGGATGGAGGGTGGGGTCAGACTTGTTGAGGCTCCTCTGGATGACACTCTGAAGTGTGCTCTTACCCTCCAAGAGAGGCAGTACCCTACGGGCACATGCAGGCTGGGATCCCTTAACCAAATGGTTGGAACCAAAAGTGTTCCGGATTTCAGAGTTTTTCAGATTTGGAAATACTTGCATACCAGTGACAAGATATGGGGCGATTTAGCCAATACTTTGGGACACCTGTGTTTTGCCTCGGTCTGTCACACCAGGTCAGGAGTGTCAGTCAGCACTAAGAACTTACAGATTTGGGGGCATCAGGGTTCAGAATCTCAGCTGGGGGCTGCTCAGCCCATGCTGCATGCACACCAGCTCTTTGTTAATTTGCACAGAATTCGGGACGAGGCGAGGCAGTGTGAGTAACAGGTGGGGACTCGTGGGGCCAGCGCAGGCAAAGGTGACCTCCAGGAGGGAGGAGAAGCCCACCATGGAAACTATCAGGAAGCCATCTCCTCAGGATTCCCCTGAAGCTGTCCCTGCCACAAGGGGGCACTCTAAGGCCTAAGGCACAGGGTTCTGTGCAGCCCCTGGAGTTGCCTGAGCAATCTGTTCCTCCTGCAGATGGATAAACTGAGGCCCCCGGAGGGAAGCTGCTTTCCAGCCTTCATAGTGAGTTGTTCAAGAGCTAGAACTCAGACCTTTTGTCCAACTCCAGGTCCAAAGCTTTAGCTTTCCCAGAAAAGGTCATAGGCAAGACTGAAAGAGGGAGGAGTGTATGCTCTAGTAGAGGTTTAGTTTTAGCAAACTAAAAGCCCCCGCAAGATGGGTATGTCTCATGGAAAAAATGAAGTAGGGGCTGAGAGAGCAAGCCGCACAATCATCTGAAAGTATGCACATGCAAAGGCCCTAGGGCAGAGTGTCTGGCATATTTGAGGAGGCCAGTGTGGCTGAATGGATCAGCAAGGGTGGAGGAGGGAGGACATGAGGTCTGTAAGGCTGGCCATGCCCAGAAAGCCTCACGCCTCCCTCCCCTGGTCCCCACAGCGCATCCAGGTCATGACCCAGCCCAGCGAGGACATCGTCCGCCCAGAGAATGGCCCAGAGCAGCCCCAGGCCAGCGGCTCAGCCAGCAAGGAGGCCTACATCTAGGGCTGGCCACTCGCCACCCAATGCTGTCACCCCTGCCTGGCTGAGCCCCAGTGACCGCCACTTGAAGACTGGACACTTTCCATCTGCACCTACCTCAAGTGGTGCAACCCAACACCATCAGCTCTCAGAGGGGCGAGGGGGGACAGTTGGACCTGGGCAGCCTCGGCCACAGATAGCGGCACCCAGCAGCTGCCAGTGCCTGGGGGCTGGTGACCTTTTTCATGGGGCCCCTAAGCACCAAGCAGCCGGTTAGCATTTGTTGCAGCCGTGGCAGCCCATTTTTAGCCTGCCAGTGAGTGTGGCCGGGAGAGACCGCACACACTCCTGGCTTTTAGTCGTTTTACCTGACTGTTCTTTTACTGCCAGACCCTGACTGTTACGTGGGACTCCGCACGAAGTCGGTTCTGCCAGATGCTGCTTGGGCCCCCTCAACACGGGCATTTTGTACAGTGGAACCACAGGGGCTTCGAGCTCAGGGGCAGGAGCCAGCGGAGCTCTGACTCCTCAGCTGTAGGCTTCTCCTTCCTGAGGCAGCTGATGAAACACCCCAGAGTCCTCAGGTGGTGTCCCCTCCCCTTGTCCCAAGTGGATGGGCCCCTGGGCAGCTCTTCAACTGCCGGGTTTGGATTGGACCCAGCCCACCTGCCCCTTCCAAAAGGGCTGTGTGCTGGAAAAGTGCTCCATGCACAACTGATTTTTCTTGGTCGCCACTGGTGGGGAACAAGCAAGAGTGCCTGTTCACTGCCCACCTTCACAGAGCACAAAACCCTGCAGAGCGAACGAGGGGACGGGGCTGTCCCAATCAAGGCAGACCCAGCTGTCCCTCAGGCTCCCTCTTACACTGTCACTCTCACTGCCACCCCATTTTCAGCTGCTTCCTCCTCTCCTTTCCTCAGTCTCCTCAGCAGGAGCCACTATGACCCACCCAGCCCACGAACTGAGGCACCAGTGTCCTCCCCAGCCTCCGCCCCACCCCACCGCAGGCTTCCGAAGCCGACTGTGCTTCTTCAGGAAGTGGGACGTGTCCCTTTCAGGAATCGGCTTCATGGTGTTGGTGGTGAAGCCGGGTCTGGGGGTCCTAGGAGCACCCAAAGGCGGCCTTTTGCATCAGCCAGGAGAAGGGGTCCCCGTAGCAAAGCAGAGGTCTCGCCCATAGCACCTTAGCTTTTTAGCTCACCAACTGTGTTTCCTGACTAACCCTTATTAACTATGGTAAATGCTGTGACTGTGTGTTTTTTAGTCTCTTCTCATGCTCATCCAGAAGCAACCAGCACACCAGTTCTTGCAATAAGGTATTGCCCTCAGAACACCCAGCACATTATTGTAGAGAATTTTAAATGTCTGTATATGCACATAGGTAGGCACACCGTGCACACCTGTCCCTTCGAGTGGCATGAAGGGTCTGCAGCCTTCCCGAGGCCACCTGGAAAATGGTCGCATTGCCAAGGTACCCCAGGCCGTGTGGGGAAGCCACGCTGCAGCTGTGTCCAGTCGTGAGGTTCTAGGGTTAGGATGGAAGGACCCGCCACTGTGTCCTGGCCCCACCCCACTGTCCAAGTGTGCATTCCCTTAGGGGACAGGTGGGGACTCCCTTTTCTTTATCTTCAATGTGAAACAGAGACAGACTTCGTTCTATGATAAATGCAGTATACTTCATGTTTGTAAGCTCCTCTAACTTCAATGTTTGGCAAGAAATCCCCTAACTGATTTCCACCCAAACTCACCATATAGAGCACAATATCAAGTCTTGTACATTTACTGTGAGATCCGTGAATATGTGTAACTTTTTTTTTCTTTTTTTTAGTATTTGCCCGGGGTTGGGGGGAGAGATATTGTATTATCATATGTGCTTTTTTTTGCAATAAGGATTTATTCTCAGATCATCAAGTAAATCTATCTCTATATTAAAAATATATGTAATATATACATATTCAAACTATATACAGAGCCTGTTTTAAAAAAATGCAGTATTATTTAGTAAAATTACCTGTTCTATGGACCAAATGTTAAATATTTATAAATGAAGATGCATTTTAAATGTCTATAAACAGTGTCATAACTAGAGCACGGGTGTTATGTAAGTTTCTAAGAATTTAGAGAAAAATAATAAAGGTTCTATGAAATGCAGTATCAGATCTTCAGTTCTTATGGGTGGAGCACAGTAGCCTCTTTCATCAACACATAAACACCAACTAATTTTCCCTCACAAAGAGGGATTGGTACTTAAAAATCTAGAAAAATGGAGGTAGACTTCCCCCAAGCTGTAGGATCACTGGATACAAAACAACTCTGAGCTACCTGAGAAGATGCTTTCCCTGTGTAAGAGGTCAATGAAATAAAGGTCAAAAAACCTAAGGATAAAAGTTAAAACCACTTTCCTTAATGACAACTATTCATTTGCTTATTGATCTCAACACTTTATAATTTTTTATTTAAAAAAAAAATCTTACTTAGGAGGGCCGGGATTTAGCTCAATGGTTCCACCACCTGCCTCACAAGCGCAATGACCCCAGTTCAATACCCAGTATAAAAAAGGAGGGGAGGCTTGGACTGAAAGATCAGCCAACAACGTGGTATCCAGGTGGGGGGGCCACGTGCCATCCCCTACAAAGCCTTCATGGGAGCTGGCACCAAACGTTTTGCATTTCCAGCTTCCAGAACTGGGAGCCCTTTTCTCCTAAGCCCTTTCCCGCCTAAGTTACATAGCCCCAGGTATTTTGTGATAGCTACAGAAAACTGACCAACAGCAAGCCATATACATGTGCCGCCCATCCAGGCACATGGAAGACCATGAACCCCTATTTTCCTTTTCTTACTCATAATTAGCTGAAGGTAGAGTATTGGCAGAATGTGTACATCTCAAGAAGCAAAATAAACTCAATATTGTGCAGCTTTCACTATTCAGGCAAGAATGAAATGCATGTGTAAGTACCAGCCTTGGAATACATATATATTGTATAATTTCACATATAAACTAAAAGGGCATATATTTGCATTTACACAATATAAAGATGAACAGGAAACTTTATGCTAATGATTTAATTTTTCTTTGATTTAGAATAAAAATAGCAAATAAATAAGCATCATAGGCTGAGGATTTAGCTCAGTAGTTCCGCTGCCTGCCTCTCAAGCACAAGGTCCCGATTCGATCCAGGGTACCAAAGAGAAAGAAAGAAAACATCAGAACTGGTTGAAAGACCGAAGAAGGAAAGGGAAGCTTTCTATTTTACACTATAGCTTCACTTTTCTCCTGCTTTTGGAGCAATGGCCTTGTACTTTCTTTTAGAACCATTATCTGCAGTTTACGTCTCTGGCCCTGCCACACATCCAGGAAAGAGTTATAGTTTGGGTATAGAGAGTAGAGTCTGTCCCCCAGAATTGACCCGCTCACGTGTTAGGCCTTTAAAAGGTGGGGCCTAGTGCGAGGAAGTGAGGTGGGGAGGGAAGAGCCAGAAGGGCACAGACCCCGCCCCTTCCGGTCTTTGTGCTGCTTTCTGGGGAGATAAAATGGCTCCCTTCTCCACGTGCTCTTGCTCGGTTTGCTGCTTACAGCAGGCCCCGAACCACAGGAGTAGGAGGCCCAGCCTGAAGCCTCTGAAACCATGAGCCAGAGCAGCCCTTCCTGCTTCACAGGTATTTTTTTCCTACGATGGGCACAGGAAGGGCATGGCTGGGTGAGAGGACCGTGGGGAGGAGACAGGCCTGCAGCTGTGAGACAGGGACTCCGCGAAATGGATGCCAGCTCAGCCCGTGCTTGTCTCCTGCTGTCTCCCCTCTCGCACATGAGCTGCAAGATTATCATCACTACTGCTTCACTAAGCCATTCAAAAGTAACTTGCTTATTTTGATCCCTGCTCTTCCTGAGTAAACAAGTCTTCAGGAGCCAGGACCTTCTTGACATAACCACAAAATGCTCTTCAAATCCAGCGAACGTTCTCTGCCGTGGTGCTGTTGTCCAGTCCGTAGCCTTCTCCAGCCGCCCTGAGGATGTCCCTGAACATAGCGCACTGCCTTGGCATGTCCCTTAGGTATTTTGGAGCACCTATTACCTGCCAAGCAGAGGTGACTCTGCCTCCCCCAGACTCACAGGGGACTGATCTGGCGGCCCCAGGGCCTCACACCCCTCCCCTCTGAATGAGAAGCAACAAGGCCTCTGTTTCCACCAGCCTCTGCTCTTCTCTGAAGCAGCAGCAGGGATTGTTATATAGGCAATTCAGAAACAACACAAAGCTCGACGTGGCGCACACCTGGAACGCCAGCACTCTGGGAGGCTGGGGCAGGAGGATCGCAAGTTGGAACCCGGCCTGAGGAATTTAATGACATGATACCCTGACTCAACATAAAAAATAGAAAGGGCTGCAGATATAGTTCGGTGTGAAGGCCCTGGATTCAACCCTCAGTACTGCCAGTCAATGAAAGAGAGAAAAAGAGAGAAACCAGTTTTCCCTCGTGACAGCAAAGGGTCCAGTTAAAGGAGCCACCAACCCTGGGTGAGGGCACCAGTTGCCTCCGCCGTTTCTGGGGCTACTTCTTTCCTCTCTCCCTTCCTTCCCCGCTAGCTAAACTGACAAGGGAATCCGAGGCGGAAGCTCACCTTCCATTTAGGACCCCAAAGGTCCCCTCTGTCCTTCCTGCCGCCTGCTTTTTCCAGGCTCCCTCCCAGCTTCTCCCCTCTCCAGCTTCTCAGAGGAAAGTTGGAAATGGGGCAGAAGGCTCAGGATCGGGAAGAATCGTAATAGACGTCTCAAAGCCTGAATTATTTTAAGGCAGGTCTCCTTCAAGGGCACTGTGCACCAACTCCCGCTGGAGAGTTGGTCTGAAGGCAGATTGTGACCCACTAGGTCTGGGGTGGAGCCTGAAGTTCCACATTTCTAACAAGTGCTCAGTTACTGCTCGTGGGCCGTTACTCATACTTTGCACAAAAAGGATCTAAAGAGCAGCCATCCATTTTCTTAGATACCGTGGGGCATTTACCACCTGCTTAAGAAACTGACAGAATCTTTAACTCAAACCGTCTAACACATAATTTGTTAATTCATAACAATTTCCAGAAGTCCTGGCTCCAGGAATGCCTACATCCAGATGCACAAAGGCTGTTGGCATCAGGAAATAGTCTCTGTCCACCTCTCAGTTCTGCCTTCCTCCAGCTTTGCTTTATCCTCCAATTGTCCATAGTCTTAATGATGGAAAAGAGTAAACTTCCAGCACTTCCAAGTTTATATCCTACTAGAATGGCAACCACAGTGCAAAGTAAGCATCTTGTGCCATAATGAGTCTATCACAGTCCTAGGATTGTGTCTCATTGGACCAGCCTAGGACACGTGTCCACCTCATAGCCAATCATTGTGACCAAGAGCGTGGAACATGCTGAATGGTCAGGCCTGGTCATCTGGTCACCTCTTGAATGAGAGGCTGGATCTGTTGTACTAAGCACACGGATTGCAAGTCAGAAAATAGTTGGGTCCCAGAGGAGACAGGATGGAGTGGAAGCCAAAAGAGCACGACACCCACTTGTCAAAGAGCCCAGGAAAGGCCTTCCTTGACACGGGCCTCCAGAGGCTGTGCCGTTTGCTGTAGCTTCTGCATAGTAGGTCCTTGCAGACACAGATGGGGAAGGACTGGCTGTGTCGGAGACTGGCTGAGATGATGCAGGTGAATCTTTGGCAGACCTAGAGGTGGACATCAGGAACACTTCGTCCAGACCACCATCCTTGTGTACTTGGATCATGAGACCTGTCTCCTCCCTCCAGTCTCACTCACCATGGTCTACCACTGCCCTAGCTGCCAGAGTGAGTTCTCAAAGCATTGGCCAGCGTAACTTGTGTCCCGGCTCCAGCTCTTCCCTGGGCCCTCCCACCGTGTCTTGAGAACTGTTCCACCTCGCTCCTCCAGCCTGTGCTGTTCTCCACGATGTGACCGGTGCCTTCCTCACCTCCGTGCATGCGTCACACTCTCCTTCACAGCGTGTGGCCATAGAAGCCATTTCTCCATCCCTCGAGTCCTTCAGTCTTCTCTGCTGCAGGACCTTCCCTCTGCCTGGAGTCTGTAGGATCGCCAAGGAAGCATCGAACTAGCCTGGAAGGCCAGCCTTCTCACTGGAGAGGGAGCCGCCTAAGCAGGGAATCCAAGGATGGCTCAGCTGTGGGGGTCAGGGGTCCCAAGCCACCCAGAGCTGGAGGATGAGGAAGAGCGGGAGAGGACAGAGGATTAGATTAAGCAAAGGTGCAGCTGCTGGAACACTGGGGCCTTGGCAGAAAAACCGCCTGGACTTCCACATCGGTGAGGCCTCAGGCCTTTGCACCTTCTTGCTCCCTGATAACCTCCTGGCTGGCTTCCTCTCTTCCTTCAAGTCCTTGGTCAAATGTCACCTCATTGAGCTAATGACTACATTAGCTAAAATGATATCCCCCACCTATTTGTCTGGCCCAACCCTACTTGCTTTATCATATGTTCAACATTCATATGTTTTTAATTTATTGTCTGTCTCCTCTACCCCCTGCTACCCACCCACTCTGAAGGAAGCTCTGGAGGGATGGGGACTTTTTCTAACTCACCTCTGTGCCATAAACGTCCCAAATAGTGCCTGATACACAGAAGGAGCTCAAAAAATGGGCGGGGGGATGGACGGATGGACGGATGGTAGACGGATGGGCAGTGGGTGGGTGGGCTAACGGATGGATAGATGGAAGGGTGGGTGGTGGATGGATAGATGCTGGCTAGATGGCTGGGTGGGCAGGTGAACGGTGCGGAGAGGGTCGCTGAGTGCGTGTGGATGGTAGATGGGTGGGTGATGGGTGGGAAGTGAGGGAGGAGACAGAATAGCAGTGCAACAACCGTCAAGGGCACTGGCTCTGTGGTCAGACAGCCCTCCACGTGAGCTCTCCACGGAGCTCCGAACATGTCACGATCTCTTCGTGTCCCAGTTTCCTCACAAAACTAAATGCACTGAGACGAAGGAGGGAAAGCACACAGCCCCGTGCCCAGCTCAAACTGAGCATCGGCAAACAGCGAGTGTTATCACAGCAGCTGTTCCGGAAATGTTTCCACCCCACCCCCATCCAGAGCCCTGGATTTGAAGGATTTGTCTGTCAAACTGTCACTTACTAATTAAGCTACTCCCCTTCCCC